CCCAATGATTATCTGAGAAAGGGATGGCTTAGGTAATGGTGGTCTGCTTATAGGTACCTCCATCACTCATCCAATAGTAGAGTACCTACCGGTATGTATTGGAGGTGGTTCGTGCCACGGTGCTTAAAACAGAAACCTCACTGTAACTTGATTCTCCCCTCTTTAACATCATTCCCATTTCCAACTTTCCAGTATCCAAGGTATCTCAGCTATTGCTTTCTGTTAACTGTCACCAAGAAAACACTTGTAGTATCCCCAGCCGCTTTATTGTAGCCTTCTTTTCGTTCTCCCAAAGGAAAAGATTCAAAGTAATTTCAACTTTACGCGAATCTCTTCATACCTCTTTCCAAGCTATCAGTATTATTCTACCTGAAATTTACGGCTTTGTGCATTAGTAAGGAAACTTGATATTCGAAAACATCATGTCTGATAATCCAGACCTTTCCCTGCCCGCCAAGGCACCATCCATGGCACGTTACCACGACGAGCCTATGACTTTACATCCAGCAGCTCTCTACACTCTCGTCGACCTGACCGATGCAGAGCTTGGAGACCTCGAGCGCAAGTGCGAAGCTGGGTGCATCGACACCGGCAGCGAGCCGGGCACCAGCGTGCGCCTCGCTCCGCGACCACGTTTTGTCGGCCAGCCACTGCGTGCCGTCTTTGACTACCATCTCGAGCTGGGAACGCAAAACACGTTTGAGCCCAGGTACTTTATCGCCGCCGTCGAGAAAGACTGGCGAGCCAAGGGAGTCATACTGGTAACGCTAGATGACGACGAGCTTGATTGCAATGTTGACTCGTTTCGCATTAAGGCTGTTGATGCCGGCTTGAGTGTAGTGAATCTGCAAATTGGTAATTCTTCGTGGGACGAAGAAAAAGATGGTTATGAGTTTCATCCTGATAATGGAGATGGCGGTGACGACGACGACGACGACGACACCAATAATGATGATAATGATGATGGACCACCAGCGCCGACCAAAAATGTTCCCCTAGGCTACTACATCCCCATTTATATCCACTCAAGTCTATCCGAAGATGAAGTCACTGCCAACCTGGAGCCAGCGTTCAAAAAGAAATCGCCCGAGGACTTCGCTTGCCGCGTCCAAGCCAAACTCACACCTGCATCCTCCGCCTCAGACACAACATCGACCCAAGACCTCATCCAGCAAGCCGCTGCCCTACACCCCCTGCGCTGTGCAAAGAACCCATATCTGCACAAAACATACATCCTCGTCATCGACACGGCAGACCCCGTGGAAAATGGCATGCTGATGGTTAAACTGCCGTCATGGGATGCGAGCCGCCGCTCAGGGACGACCGAAAAGACAGACTTGCGCCGCGTCGGGGAGGAATTGGCCCTTGCTGCCTCTCAGCACATCCGCATCCCGTATTCTTGCCACGACGGCCTGCAGACGCGCTTCCTGATCTTGGCTAACGGCGACGCTGACTGGCCGTCGGAGGACGTGCGCGCCCAACCCGTCTTCGTCGTCTTCCAGTACAACACGCACGGCAAGGAGCTTGGTTTCGGCGCTAACTCGGTCGATCCTGGAGCCGCGAAGCGGAAGCCTGGCGAGGAGCGGCTGGTGTACGCGCCCCAAGTGGTCAAGCGTCCTGGACACGGTCTGGAGAAGATTGCATGGAACTACGACGAGGCCGTGAGACGATTCCCTTGGTTTTGCCGGGAGAAGCGTTTCGTCGAGGGTTTGGACAGGACTTTCTTTATATGCGTGGACGGAGACGACGTGGCTACGATGGGGGTGCTGCTGGTGCGGAGAAAATGGGACGGGAATGTATGGGGCCGGACACGGGATGAGTTGCTCGGCTTGCCCGTTGATGGTGTGAAGGATGTAAGAGTCCCTGTCAAGGAAGCACTTGTTCTTTTGGAAAAGGGGGGGAAGGGCGAAATAGATGGGATGAGTGAGGGCTTGAGAGGTTTCTTCTTGTAAGCGTTTACTTCTATTACGGGCAGACCAGCGAGTGTGTTGGCCTTGAATTGATTTGACTTGATAAAATATGAAATGACGTTTTGATATTTGAAGTGGATATCAAATATTGTGAAGCTATTCAGATGCACATGTAGACCCATTTTTTACATAAGCTGGCGATGAGACCTATAATATGGCTCATTTCTCCAACAACTGGACGATTGTCCCCCGATATTGAGTTAACTTACTAGATATATAGACCGTTGACCCCTCGCCGCAGGGAAACAAATGATTATACAAAGACCTACCTATATTTCTGGCAGTGCGGTTGCACATTCAGGGGCTTCAGAGACTCATTCGACAACTCCTATACTAGACGACTAAGTCAAATCAAGTTCCGAATATCCAAACAGTAAATATCGGTATTTGACACGCCGTGACTCTATAATATGACTTCCTCTAGTATACAGCCGCCGCTTCGGGATGGGTTCGTCGGGGCATAGACGTGACTTGACCACTATCTAGTTTGCCGTAACTGCTAGATATATAGGTATTTGGCTTGAAATCATTCATTGCCGAGAGAGGTGGCGGATTAGCTAGTCACTTGAAACTAAAATCAGCTAATGGAAATATCAAGAGACCTACCCCCTGAATGGTGATCTTTCCTCGAGAATATCGCGCTAACCTCCTTGTCAGGATGTCTTAGTAGGAAGCGTTGGCCCTTGTTATGTTTGCTCGTGCTAGCCGTGGTTCATGGCGCCCCGTGCTCTATTAGCCATGTTTGTAGTAAGGCTAGCAGCGTCGAGGTCGATGGTTGGACTGGGAATTGTTAAAAGACTGAGTCCAGTCGACATATATGGACGTCGAGAGTATGATCCCTTGACACCTAATTCCGCTATGACTTTAACAGATGGTGTAGGTATGTATCCTGCGGCAATCTGGTTATATGGATGGCTGTTTGCAGCTCTTTCTTCAAGCCTCTTAGCTCGTAGCCCCTTAATGGCATTTCTGGAGGCTAGGCAAGCCATCGTCACTATAATCATCACGCTAAACCAAGTGGTTGCAGCATGTAAGTCGTGCCATCATTGCTTTTATGTGTATAGCATACGAAGTTACGAAATGACCGCGCAGATGGGATGGTCTACGATTGGAACACGTCGCCCAAGGCCTTTACGCCGAGCTTTCTTGGCGGCCCTCCTATAATCCTAGTTTGCCTACGACGGCCGCTTGGCCAATTACGTTGTCTGGATTGGATTCTGTCGGACGGATTTGGAAAGTCTCCCTGTTAGGGCCATGGCATTATGCTTGCTCAGTACTTCATTAGCTTCATTCTAGCTATATGTATGTGCGAGACGATTGTTTTAATACCCAAATATCGACTGCCCGACGATGACAACGCCGCTTAGACGTGGTAGAGGGCGAGTTGAAAGTCCCTTCAATAGCGATCCTTGGTTGTATGTAAACAATTCCCCTAGTACCAGAAGAATCAGTAATAGCCAATGCCAACAGCCACCCTCCTCCATAGGCGCCGTATGGGCCTTTAGTTCCGTCTTGGTTTCTCAGCCCACAATCACCGCCGGATTACCGCGGACTCTGGCCTTCGCGGGAACATCGTTCAGCACAACAGCGCCGACGTCGACTCTGGCTCCATTTCCGATGGTGACCCCGGGGCCGATGATAGCTGAAGCTCCAATCCAAACATAATTGCCGATATTAACACGAGCGCCCGTGATCTGGTATTTCCCTTCGGGTGCCTCTCGGGGATGAAATAGCGGAGGAGGAGGGCCTGCAGAGACGATGGTGACGTTCGGCCCGATGATGGAGCGCATTCCGATGGAGACTTGGGCAACGGGCGTGTCGATGATCTTGCAGTTGTGGTCGATAGAGGCGGTGGAGTCGATGAAGAGGCGGCAACCGTAATCGACATAGAAGGGCGTGCGAATGTATGGCACTCTTTCCAAGACGGACTCTTCATACCCTCTCGGCAGAGTGATCTTCGTGTACCTGCGGCATCTTTCGGTGAACCTGGTGCTTCGGCCCATGGCATTGAATTCGGCGCAAGCTTCTGCACAGTACGAGTGTATATCTAGGTTCTCTTGTTCGCCTGGGACGAAGGTGACGGGCCCGTTCGACTGGGCCGAGGCCACCCTATACATTGTCATCGATTATGTAGATAAGGTAGGTTAGTTCTATATAATAGAATCTGATGGTTGTCGGTCGCTTGGGGATCGTCGCTCTCTCTCTAGACACGATGTTAGTCTACAAGCTTTGCGGGTTTGAGTTGAGGAACTCGATGGCTATTGCAATCTCTGGCTTCGCTGATTTATATAGTTCGGTGGTAACTAGGCCTTGTCAGGTAGGAAGGTCAGGTAGAGCTGTTTGTCCTGTGCGTTTGCAGCATCTAAGAATGAAGCAAGCCAGGCCACGTACCAAGACGGAGCAATCACACTGTCACCTTGACGTGGGAATAGCTCAATAGGGACAAAGGAGACATGAGGAATTGTGAAAGTTCCTTACCTCGCCGTTGATAATGTGTACAATGACTGGGACGTATCTAAGATGTGTTAAGCTGACTCCTCCTTCATGAATAAATGGTGTGATGTTTCAAAAGCCTATGACTTGGAGGTGGTATGTAGCAATCACAATGTGCATATGGAGGAAACAGTTAACCCTTTTACTAAAGATGGTAGGAACAACTACATTACGGGGCCACTCTACAAGATAATGTGGCTATTCCTGAGTCTATTTCACGCAAGCAGTTAGCCCCTAGGTATAGAGTCACGCGAAGCTTGATGTAGAGTGCCTATTGGGTATAGGCCGAGAGTACCTACCTAATTATTAAGTCAATGTAGCAGGAGCCGAGCCCCTGACCGGCTCGCGGAACCCTTACCAGGCTCCACGTTAGTTTCCTGACGGAGAAGGTACACACAACAATGGCCTGTTTATTAGGTAGACGTGGAGCCAACAGTGGCCATATATATCCATTTGTCTTTGGACCTTCCAACAAGAGCAGTAGAAGCTAAGCTCCAGGTGGTAGAGTGGTAAGATCCTCTCTCACCTAAAACCTAGGTGCGTATGAAGTAGTGGTTAACTTGCCGGTCTCCGACCTCATCGTTAGAGAGCCGGAAATCCTGGGTTCGAATCCCAGTGCGCACTATCTTTTTGCATTTTATTTTATTTTTCCATCATATTCCCTTCAAGTACTCGCATATTACTACCTCATTGATGAGGCTGCAGACACTGGTTTGAATACAAGGAGGTTCGTATTCCTTTTACCGTCTTGATAGATGATCGGTTGCATCACCCGAAAGATGCCCTCGCCAACCCCCTGCCCTTCACACCATCTCTTGCCGCTTTACTCAGGCCTGATCAGGCGCTACTCAGGACGAGAGGCTCAGACTGATATCGATGACAAGCGCGTCCCAAGAGTGGTCCTGGACTACACTAAGGAGATGTACGACTAATTCATATAGGATACGGTCATGCTAGTCGCCTGGAACAACAATCAACCAGAATTACGCTATAGTTTGAAGAGAGAGTTTGCAAAAGGGATGCATGACAAGGAATCGCAAAGGTAAGACGATTCTCCATAGTTGGTATTTTAATTTATCAAATGCATGTTAGTTAATACGCTTTTTCTTTCCAATAAAAAAAAAGGCCAGCACATCTATTGTACGAATTTTGCCTGACCGGCCTCTCACTGTTCAGCCATTCGTATTTATGCTTGCTATATTCCTCGCTGAGCAATCGATGAAACGGAAGACAAAACTACGCCAGGAGATTCAGCGAGAAACGATCGGTGTGGCCTGGACACCTGCGAAGGAGACGATGGCAGATGGGTCGACTAAGGCACTCCCGAGGCAGAGCTTCGAGAATTTCATCAGCATGATCGGACTACGCGATATTCAATCTAGACTAGAGAGCTACCGGAGGGAAGAAGAGCAAAAAAACACGGGTATCAAAAGCGAGGTCAGTACAGAGCGAGCAAACTCTCGAACTAACAAAAACCCCAAGCCACCAAAGACCACTAGTGGATCATCTCGAGAAGCTCAGCCATAAGCATCATAGACCGGTGCCGCTTACCGGACGCCGATGGAGGTGATCTGGACCGACGACGGGGAACTGAAAGTCTAATAAATTTCAATGAGTAATAATGCTTCGGCGAGAATTCTTATCACCGCTGAAAGTGACCTAAAGCAGGTTATCCAGGAGCAAATATCAACAGCCCGCGTTGGGTCTTTAGTTTATTGAGACATAGACATGTTATCCTTTTCTTAACTTCTTTGATGACTTACGATAGACGAACATCCATGACAGTCTCGTAAGTCAAAGGAGAATACGTATACGTTCGCACCATTCTCAGTCCAACATCTTCGAACAGTGTCGTCCACTGCGCTTCTGTGCGCTCCATGCTAGCAAACGCCGCAAGTATGGTCATGTCAATTGATGCCGCCATGTAGTTCACATTTTCCTCTGGCAATACCATTTCATCAACCAGCAGCACTGATTCGGGTTTCATAGCGGCTTTGATCGTCTCAAGCAACATCCGCACCTTATGAGGCGGATGATTGTGGAACACAGCACGAAGGTGATAGAACTTGGCACCTACAAACAAGGGTCAGTTAATGTCGATAGGAGCGCGCACAAAGGAAGGACATCTAGACTGAGAAAGGGCCAACAAAGATACATACCAATCACGGGCTGTGGTTCAAACATGTTATACGCCATATTCTCGACGCCGGATGTTGGAAGGGCCTCTGCTACGGAGTGTGGTAAGTCCTATAGGATAACCTGCCCACCCAAGTTGGGATGTTTCTCTTTGAACTGTGCACATTGATGGCCGACGCCTCCTCCCACGTTTACATAAAGGGGTTGGTCAGCAGGCCATCCGGCAGTCTCCGTCTCTATAGGATATACCGAGAGCCAAGTCGCATCTGGTTGTCGACGGAGCGCATGGTACGCGTGGAAGTCGGCCAGGTAGGTAGGGTTTTGCGCAAACCACGAGAAGGGATCCAAGGTCGTGCGGAAAGCCAGATGAAAGGCTGTTTTTGCATCGTCAACTGGAGTTTGGTAACCAGTCTGCTTCAACAAATCCGGCAGGCATTGATACTGAGGTGCAGTGAGGCCCGAAGCTGGAAGCTGGTGAATCTCTGCTTATAGGTACCTAGTGAGGAAGTAGAAGCGCACGTACTAGTGAGATATGCCAGCCTCGACAACCTTCTCTGTCAAATTGCGAGTTGTCTGGTTCGCAGTATATTCGTCTCTGCTCGTCTCTCCCACTACTTGTATGGCAGCAAGATATCTCAAGAGCCGAGCTGGATTATACGTAAGACTCGACTTATATATATTTGGGATGGGTGTCTTACATATTAATTGCGGCTCGGCTTTAGTCTTCTCTGCGATACGATCGACTGCGAGTGGCTCAGAAGCCTCCACCAAATGTCTGAATAAGCCTAAATTCATACCAACTTGGACTGTTGCCGTTTGGAGGTTCTGTTTTTCTATCAGTTCTTTTTCCTTGTCAACACTCGGGGAGTAAATGAGAACCGACCATGTGCCCGAATCTGTGAAGAGTATCGTCAGGGGTCTCAAGTGAGAAAAGAAGACTTTGTAAAGCCACAATGACCTTCCGGCGTGCGTCCTCGCTCCCAGCCGCCCGGAACGCTTAAGCTCACGGTATAACCTCTTAGGCTCACGGTGTCCCACACTTACTATTCCATATCCAGGTTAGCATTGTGGATACCTAATTTGCAGTACAGATCCATATGCAGATCGATGTACCTTTCATACCTGTTGACGACGCGGGTCAGGTTTGTACCAAAATTTTCATCACCATCAACACCGCCGCTAATACTATCAGTAATTCCACGATATCAACCCTACTAAACTCCTCGACGAATCGCATACGAACAGCCCTGCCAGCCATATCAATCTGATCCTAAAGACGACAATTTTACTACCTTCGAGACCAGGGTATGGCATAACCTACCTATCTATCAGGTAGAAACAGCATAAAATGACTCGACAGCAACCAGTTACAGCAGGAAATATAGCAGGGGCGGCGACGTAATAACACCTGAATAGATATTAGAAGAGATCTATTACACGATAAACCCCTTAGGTAAAAACGCCGGCAATAATAACGACAACAAGGCCAGGGAGAGCGGTTCGGGGGCGACAGCGTGATTCGTAATAAGGGAACAAACCCACAACGTTAAAAGGTATAAAAGGTACATCTATTTGTATGTGGATATGGTCAACGGGTGGTGGATACGATGGAGGGCCCGTAGGCGGAGCGCCGTTCGGGGAAGACATGACGATCAAAAAGACTTTTCTGGGGCCGATCGTAGCACTGAGCAGCAACAGCGAATACAGACGGATCGTCGAGCAGCAGTGAACACCGACAATAAGGATGCATAAGTGGCATCAAGCTACGAGGGGGAGGGGGTGATACGTGTAAGTCTTATAGTACGTACCGATCATATGCTTCTCAGCCTCGTGCCTCAATGTGACGCCAGACTCTATTATTATGCAGTAAGAATTCACGTAAGAGTCTTCTTCCGAGCCTGAGTGTGGTTGCAACTAAACTCCGTCTGTGGTGGCCCGTTGTGACCACTGTGCCAAAATAAAAAATATGCATGAGGATATACCTGATTAATAAATGGATATACGTGATTAGTGAATATGTAAGTTGCCATATGATAAATGAGTACAAGTATCGGAAAAAGGGAGGTAAGCAATACGCCATACCTGCCACTCGCGCCACTATTCGCGATATATAAGTTTATATATAAATCGTTATATAATTATATATATATTTATATTCATTTAATTAATTAAAAGAATTCCGTTAGATTAATTACGTAATTATTCGATAAAAGATTATATATTTTAACGTATTTATATATCGTATATATATATAATTTATACGATAATATATTATAATATTAAATTATTATAAATCTATTTAATTTAGTTAAAATATAAAATATAAAATAATATTTAAGGTTTTTAAATAATTAAATTAAAAATTTAATAATTAATTAAATATATAAAAAACATTTTTATACGTAAATATTTTAAATATTAATTAAATAAAAATATATATATTACGATTTTATCGTTATATATAATTACTATTATTTTTAATATAATTAAATATTAAACTTTTTTAATAAATAAATTTAATTAAAGTTAAATATTAAAGTATATATTTTTTAAATTTACGATTTATTATAATAATTATTTTTTACGTTAAAAAAATAATATATTATAAGATATTTAAGTTATATTAAATAATTATACGTATAAATTTAATTAATAAAATTATATTTAAAAAACTTTCGAATAAATTTAATATAATTATAAAAAACTTATATATAAAAAAATATATAAACGTTAAATATAAAATAATTTAAAAATTAAAGTTTAATTAAACGTATAATATTAATAATATATTAAATTATATTATAATTTATATATAAAAAAATATATTAAAAATATTAATTTTAACGATATAATTAATAGTTTTACTTTAAATATACCTATTTATTATATATATTCCTATAATTACATTCTACTATACCGCTTTTCTACATATTAAATCCATTTTTCTTATTTTAGCACAGTGGTTACAACGGGCCACCGTACCGTCCTTTCAATATAACTCCGAGGGGGGGGAGGGGCGACGTTAGAAGGAAGGGGGTGTGGGCGCATAACTACCCAGATATCTAGGTACACTGTATGTTTACGGAACCAATAATTTAGCTGCTTACACCCGTACATAATCACGGGATTGGACTAGCTGCTTTCTCTAGACCATGCATACCCTTTGTAACTCTTTGTCCCAGACGGTTGGTTGTTGGTGGTCGGCCCCCTATATCGAGTCGTTACAAACAAGGGACCAGGAGCTTGCAGGCTTGGCTACATATGTCCTATTCCAACCAACAGATCATTAAGCAAATACCAAGTGAATCTATAGACTCACAGAGCCTTCCGTCCCCCTCAACTTAATTTCTAACTGTCATCTATCGCGTAGACTCAACTTTCTACCGTCGCCGCCATGGAAGCTCTCTCTAGCTTGCTATCGTGGCAGAGCATTGTCTCTACCATTATCCTCTACTACGTGACACTTGCGCTATACCGGCTGTATCTGC